CCCCCCCCGCAGTACCATTCCCCCCTCCCCCCGGCTCCGCTGTCGGAGCAGCGCTGCTGAAGTGCTGGCCAGCTCCCCCTCCCCCCCCCAGCCTACCTGGCTGCCCAGCGCATCTCCCCGCCACGCCTCCCATGGTCACATCTTCGGGCGCCCCCCCCGGCACACACACACACACCCCCCGGACCCCGCTCCGGCTCTAGCGCGCTGGACCGGGCTGGCGGGGGCCGTCGGGAGCCTGGTTTGCGGAGGGCGCCCCCGCTGGCTCGAGGAGGGAATGGCGGCTGCAGCAGCCGGTGTCTGTGTGTGTGGTAGGGGGGGGGGTCGCCTTTGTCTCGCACAGAGATGCCCCCCACTTCGCCGTTCCCCAACCCCCCCGCATCCTGCGCCCTGGGGAGCCAGGGGGAGGGGGACCAGCTGAGACAAAGAAATCCCAAGACAAAGGACTTGGGTGTGTGTGTCACGATGACAGGGGCGGTGGGGGAGGGGGGGTTGAAAGCAAGTGGCACCTTGTATTGGGCTATAACTGGGGGCACGGATGGAGGAGACAGGGGTCACCCCCCCACACACACACACACACAGTCCCTGCCAGAAACCTGGGTTGGAAACAGGGACCAAACTAACCAGGAGTCCGGTGGCACCTTAAAGACCAACAGATTGATTTGGGCATAAGCTTTCGTGAGTAAAAAACCCACTTCTTCAGATGCACGGAGTGAAAGGGACAGGAGCTGCAGGCGTGACTGACACAGGAAGAGACGGGCGTCACCTCACAAGTGGAGAACCAGTGTTGACAGGGCCGATCCGATCAGGGTGGATGTGGGCCACTCCCAATAAGAGATGAGGAGGCCTCAATTCCAGGAGAGGGAGAGTTGCTTTTGTAATGAGCCAGCCACTCCCCGTCCCTATTCCAGCCCAAATTCATGGTGTTAAATTTGCAAATTAATTTTACAACCTTTATCCTGGAAAGTGATCCCTCACTCTCACAGACCTTGGGAGGCAGGCCAGTCCTCGCTTACAGACAACCCCCCAACCTGAAGCAAATACTCACCAGCAACTACACACCACACCACCGAAACACCAACCCAGGAACCAATCCCTGTAGCAAACCTCGTTGCCTACTCTGTCCCCATATCTACTCTAGCGACACCATCAGAGGACCCAACCACACCATCAAGGGCTCATTCGCTTGCACGTCTACCAATGTGATATATGCCATCATGTGCCAGCAATGCCCCTCTGCCATGTACATTGGCCAAACCGGACCGTCCCTCCGCAAAAGAATAAATGGACACAAATCGGACATCAGAAATGACCGTGTTATACCAATAAAAACTAGCAGGATCTTATTAAAGGGGACAAGATACAGATGACACATTTATTATGATAACAATTTGATTTATGACCAATAACTAATATCTTCATCCTTCTACACACACATTATACCTAATACCTACACACACACACACACACACACACGCCCATCAGATGTTCTGCCGCTGCTGCATAGTTACCAGTCCTGTTTGAGTCTGTGGCTTGAGTTTGCAGCTTGGGTTCGTAGCTTGTGGCGGTAACTGGCCAGGAAAGCCGGGCACAAGGACGAGCTGGGTCTCTGTTGGGCATGCACCGATGCCCTTCCATGTTGGCAGCAGAATGTTACCCTCCTCCAAAGTTTTCCATCTCGCCCATCCTTTTGTAGGCTTTAGTTTGAATCTATAGATCTTGCTGTGTCACGCTGCCTCCAGGTTTGGTGATTGATCACCCGTCAATTGCAGACATGACTTTCAGACTCGGAGCGAGTCTGATTTTCCTTCTATTGGACCTTTTCTTTTTAGGGTGGATTCTTCTTACTTTGTTACTCTTGTCTGCATCTTCAGCCGTTGGTGTTTGAACTCTAATCAGGCCAGGCTGGGGCTGGAGGTTGATTCCATCATCCATCCATACCTCATTCACACATCTAAACTAAACTAAGAAGATTACAGCAGGGTTTGCAAAAATGAAGGTTGCAGCAAGCCCTTACAAAACGGAGTAAGCGTTTTAAAATGGGGTTTGAATTACAATATGGCAAACAGTGAACAGAAGTTACAATATAGACAAGTCTAATGGATGGCAAACAGTGAACAGAAGTTCCACTGTAGGCAAGTGTAATAAATGGGGAACAGACATTACAATACTGAAACAGGGCAAGTCTTAGGCCTGGTCTACACTACGACTTTAATTCGGATTTAGTGATTTAAGCAGGAATTGGATTGATAGTGAAACTTACAAAGTCAGCTGACTGAACAGCTATGGCTCTTAACAAGCATCTGAACTGTTAATTAGCCAGTTATTGGGGTAACCGGTTTTATGAATGAATGTTGTTTCATTCACAAAACTTTACTTATGAAGTTACATTAATCAAGTAAACAATTAAAAACAATTTCATTCATCAGTCCTACACTAGGAACGGAGAGATGGCTGCACCCCAGAAGGAAGGGCTGGGGTGGCCGTCCTGACTGAGGGACAGGAGAGGACAGAGCAGGACACCTGGGGCATGGTGAGAACAAGGCCACGAGGGGGCACTTGGGGAGGAGGCCACTCATTTGCAGGGAAACTGAGGCATGGGATGGCGCAGTGACTTGCCAAGGTCAGTGGCAGCGGTAACAATAGGCCGAGCCGTGGCAGAGCTAGAATACGGAGGCTGATAATACTATACGGTGGATAGAAAGCTGGCTAGATTTTCAGGCTCAACGGGTAGTGATCAATGGCTCGATGTCTAGTTGGCAGCCGGTATGAAGCGGAGTGCCCCAAGGGTCGGTCCTGGGGCCGGTTTTGTTCAACATGTTTATTAATGATCTGGATGATGGGATGAATTGCACCCTCAGCAAGTTCGCAGATGACACTAAGCTGAGGGGAGAGGTAGATATGCTGGAGGGTAGGGATAGGGTCCAGAGGGACCTAGACAAATTGGAGGATTGGGCCAAAAGAAATCTGAGGAGGTTCAACAAGGACAAGTGCAGAGTCCTGCACTTAGGACGGAAGAATCCCATGCACTGCTACAGGCTGGGGACCGACTGGTTAAGCAGCAGTTCTGCAGAAAAGGACCTGGGGATTACAGTGGACGAGAAGCTGGATATGAGTCAGCAGTGTGCCCTTGGTGCCAAGAAGGCCAATGGCATATTGGGCTGTATTAGTAGGAGCATTGCCAGCAGATCGAGGGAAGTGATTATTCCCCTCTATTCGGCACCGGTGAGGCCACACCTGGAGTATTGTTTCCAGTTTTGGGCCCCCCACTACAGAAGGGATGTGGACAGATTGGAGAGAGTCCAGCAGAGGGCAACACAAATGATTAGGGGACTGGAGCACATGACTTATGAGGAGAGGCTGAGGGAACTGGGGTTATTTAGTCTGCAGAAGAGAAGAGTGAGGGGGGATTTGTTAACAGCCTTCAACTACCTGAAGAAGGGTTCCAAAGAGGATGGAGCTCGGCTGTTCTCAGTGGTGGCAGATGATAGAACAAGAAGTAATGGTCTCAAGTTGCAGTGGGGAAGGTTTAGGTTGGATATTAGGAAACACTATTTCACTAGGAGGGTGGTGAAGCACTGGAATGGGTTCCCTAGGGAGGTGGTGGGATCTCCATCCTTAGAGGTTTTTAAGGCCCGGCTTGACAAAGCCCTGGCTGGGATGATTTAGTTGGGAATTGGTCCTGCTTTGAGCAGGGGGTTGGATCACTAGATACCTCCTGAGGTCCCTTCCAGCCCTGATATTCTACGATTCTATAATACATCCGGCTAATTTCCAGGAGTATGACTGACAGTCCCCGCCCTCCTCCGCCCCTCCCCCAGTCCTCAATTCCATTCCCTTCTCCCTGTGCCAGGAACAAGCTCCAGTGTCACAGGGCCTAACACTATGAAATCCCAGGTGCCGGCGAGGAGTCTGTATTTCCCAGGAACTAGCCTGGCCTGCGAGATCTGCAGTTTAAGACTGTTGTGATCCTCCCAAACAGGGCACCCAGCCAAGCTGCTCTCAAATCAGGCACCAGATCAGAGCCATCAGGGCTCTGGGCCCGAGTCAAGGGCCACGAGGCAAGCGGCCCATTCGAGATGCAAGCCATCTGCCCAGGAGACAGTCCCCCGCATTGTGCGCCGTCGGAGCCTCGCGCTGGCCGAGCACAAAGATGTCCCTTGTCCAGCGGCAGTGGGCGGCTGTTGCTCCCGATGAAATGCCCTTTGCCTTTTCTGGTCCGTCAGCTGCGAATGGGGATTTGAACCAGCGGCAAGCAGCTGATTTTAACCCCTGAGAACCAGGAGGCTCCGAGAGGCCCGGCTCCCACCCCATCCTCCACCCGCGCTGTCTGGATCCTTTTGGGAACAGCAGCGGCTCGTGGGAAGCCCCCCCTTGATGTTCAGGGGGCGGTGGTGGGGGTGCAAAGGAAGGGGAGCTGAGCTCTTTGGAAAAGCCTGAGGAATCGCTGGTCCTCCGCCCTTCCTCCCCACCCCAGGCCCTGTGTGCTATCGGCTGTGTGTGGGGGAGGGTCTTTCAGGAAAAAGCGCAGCGCTCCGGGTCCTTGTCTGCACTGCAGAGGTGTCGACAATGGAAAGGCATTCTCTAGAAATGAGGAGTTTGCTCTGCTGACCGGTGGACACTTTCCCTCCTCCGCTCCACCCCAGAGGTGGCTGCATGCGCCAAGGGCTCAAGCTATTGTCCCGCACGTGCTTGGTGTCAGTTGCAGGGTGACCGGCTGCCTGCCCCTGTATCTCTCCAGAGGCATTGGAAAGGGCCTAAGGGATAAAACCCCAAGGTGATAGAGGCCTCTGAAATACGTGTGTTAGGCCTTTGGGGTCTTTGCTTGTTGAGACGGTAGGATGCATTGAGTGCGATCTGCAGATGAAATAGAACAAGGCTTTTAATTTGGTCCCTCAGCTGGTGACATGCGCGAGGGAGGAAAGGAATGTGGGCAGGAGACTGGTACCACTTCAATAGAGCAGGCAGCTGGTAGCGGCTGTGGTCAGACGTTCGGCTGCATGTGTGTGTTCTCCTTGTGTGCTGCCCCCAGCTCTGCCCAGACAGCCGGCACGGCAGGCCGCGAGCGAACCACCCAATGACCACAAGATCCGTTAAGGAATGAAGGCACCAGGCCAGGTTTTTGTCGACAAAGCACCTGGCAGACTCTACAAAGGTATCTCTTAGTATATGACAATGGATGCAGCTCAGTGAATGCCAGGACTTTCCATTTCCCCCTCGGCTGGACCAGGACACTCTCTCAGGGATAC